GACTTGTACGAGTACTGCGCCAACATGCATGAATAGGAAAGAGGACCACGAGGGGAAACGGTCTTCTCGCTTTTCATCCTGTGTGTGATTATTGTGAGGTTTTGTGTAAAGCGCCCAATGTTTGCGTCACTAAATGTTTGCGATCTCTCAGAACCAGCTAGTTTGCGACGGCAAATGTTCGCGGAGCACTGTGGCCACACATATACATCCACTGTTGAAGTATGATTTCACGATGGTTAGTATTTGCATTCTGCTCTTCTCGGAAAATTAGCAAACATTAATACAGTATAACCAGTACTAGAGACCACAATCCCGGAAAATTGCACAATCCCGGAAAATTGCACAATCCCGGAAAATTGCACAAGGCTGGACTGCACACTGCAGTGTACGTTCCACGTTACCGTGAGGACATTATTATACAGATCCCCATAGAAACGACATATCTTAGGCAAGACTCAGTATATACAGGGGCGTCGCACACAGCACGGTCAATACGGTATCGACCGTACCACTATTTGCCCAAGTACCCCGTAAATCAATAAAATGCACTGGTTTGGGCTCTAAATTTCCAAAATTTTCGGCTCAGCCATCCCTCCCCCACGAGTAAGTTGTGCTTTCAGATGGCAGACCGTACCACGCTAAAATGCCTTCCGACGCCCCTGATATATATCAACAAGTTGAAAGCCTCAACCCCATCATCACTATAATGGTACGTTTTATGACAGTCGGCTGGGGATCGTGTGTCGTGTCCGAGTGTTGCTACGAGGGTGAAGAATGGGGATCTGGACTCCTGGTATATTTCCATAAAGAACTTGGAATTGTAGAATCCTGAGAGCATGTCTGGCCCACTCCCCGGTAATGACACATGCATACAATGGCAGAATTTTAATGCAACAACTGATATGATCTCCTCGCTTGCTAAAGTTCAGCTCCGTCCTGTGATCCATTCTTGTGAGTTATCATGGAAGGCATATTAAACGCATGAAAGGTGATCTTTGCGAAATTAGATTTTCTTGTGTTTTGATCGACGCTGTGGCTGTGGCCACTTAGAATACTTCCAATGTTCGGGTTGTTATCCTGTCTTAGATGTTGTACCTGTGTCAGATCTTTCTTCCCAACTTGTACGGTGATGCGATTACGTTCTCGCCAGTTTCTGCCGTTCCCTTTAGATGCCGCCAATCGGCGTCAAATGCGTCCCGTTGCTCTTTATCATGGGGTCCCGCTAGGCCTGATGGAATGTGGACCAAGCTAAGCACCTGTGTATGATCTCTTTATGCAGGTCGTTGTCGCAAAATCGCCTAACCAGCCTTTCTGTGGATGTATTCGCCAACGTTAAATCCTTAGAAACTTTGTGAGTACAGGCATCTTGTGAGCTTCAGATTGCAAAGTAAACCAAGAGAGTGTAGCCTGATCTTGCTACATATACTTAGTCCGTGTCAGCAATATTGTCGCTTATCTTTCGACTTTGTTTTATGTCGCCAATGCTCACTTGGTAGCCCATTTCATCCCAATTTTGGTCAGGAAGTTAGTTTACTAGTACCTGAAAGGTCTAGCTAGATTTCGAGTGGATTTTGAGAGCGACCGGTGGGTGATTCTGATTGATACAGCGCCGCATCAAAATAGATTATCTTGTCAAACTGCGCGGACAAGAGCAGCGTGACGCACAAGAAAGTAATCAGTTACTCAGAATCAGTTCCATTTTGCAAAACGACCGATATCGCTCACCTCAGGGATCGCTCGCCAAGCTGAGATCGCAGTCCCCTCACCTCCAGCTCAACGCTCGGAGAATCCATCGCATCGTGGAGATTTGCACGTAGTGCACGCGTCGTCGTTCAAAATAAATCTCGCAAGGAACGGCGACTGATTTGAACCACACCGGTAGTCGTGGTGCCCACGTAAAGTCCTATAGAGAAGGCAACCATCACGATCGACTTCCCTTCAGAAAATAGCTAGACAGCTTAGAGGAAGAGAGATGAGCTTGCGAAAGCGAGAGGGTCGATACGGAGAAAATAATATTGGTCACCAGCGCCGAGAGCAGCGACGAGGAGGACCGAAAAAATTATAAAACCTTCCTTGGAGAATAAAATCCTCCTGGCCAGTTGTCATTTTGTACCTTACCTTCCATCATACCAAGTTTATACTCTCAAGTGCACGTATTGATGTCCAAAGTCTAAGTTCAAATTGTCGAAAGATAAGCGACAATATTGCTGACGCGGACTATTAAACTATATCTTTTAAAATAGAGGAAGAAAACAATGTCATATGGAAACGTGTTATGAAGCAACTATCCACGAATTCAACAAGATGATAAGCGGTCAGTATGTGCGATAACAGGGCACAACACTGACATGCTTCCTTTATCTCCGATATTTCTGACCCACCCAAGTTGGGTGGTGTGTTGCTTTGCTGCTTCATATTGTAATTAGACCGCAGTGTCATGTTATTAACTGGTCTCGTCGTCGTCCTGTAACAGTCGGTATTCTTGGTTGCCGTGGGACCTAGCTCTGCTACACTCACCTTCCCCTTTGGTCCTAAACAACCTTGAACCTTCCAAGTTGAAATGCTTTTGGTTTGCACACTGGAGATATGTTAGAGCAAGTCTCAGGTCGCTGAGTGTCTCAGTAGCCGGTCAGTTGTGTGCCCTGTTATCGCACGTACGGACCGCTTATTATCTTGTTACATTCGTGGATACCAGTAGTTGCTTCATAACTCGTTTCCATGTGTTTTCTTCTTCTATTTTACATTTCATACTGGCTCATTATCCGAGTTCAATAGATTTTACTTGCAATAAATGACCCTATGTAAAACACTTTTGCCCACAGCTGTAGATACTGGTAGAGTAGTGCACAGTGACATCTGTCCCAAAGTGCATGTTTGCCGCCCTCAACCTGCACAGCCCTTTTGAAGTGATTCGAATCCTGCTGGACGCACACATGCACAACCACAATTACGTATTCGTATCTGGTCCAGGGCGTCAGTTCTGTGCTTTTGGTCTGCAGTGAGTTAAAAGTGACGGGGAAACGCCATGATCAGGCAGTACAGTGTTGTGTCGTCTGCATGCAACGCTAGCTGGCATTCTGGGGATACACAATCAGAGATGTCATGGACATAGATGAGGAAGAGCATTGGTCCAAAAGATACTGCCTTGCAGGAAGTGCGAGGAGGTCAGTGAGAAGGTCGGCAGTTCCAAGTCCACCGCGGAATCCAAACTGCCTGGGAGATAGGACCATGTGACGTTCTAGGTGATTGACAAATTGCCTGTTGATGATGGTCTCCATAATCTTAGACCCAATACTCAGAAAGGAGACAGGTCGGTAATTTTTCACTGCTGCTCTGGAAGCGCGATTGTGGATAGGCACAACGTGTGCCGTCTTTCAGGGGTTGAGATGATGCGAGCAGCGTAGCAAGAGGGCAAACAGCTTAGTCAGAGGAAGTTCGAGCTCTTTCGCACACTCTCGAAGAACCCATGCTGGGAGACTATCTGGGCCAGTGGCCTTGTTGACTTGGAGCCTGCAGAGCTCCCTCCGAACATGCCAATTGTTGGTGGGTTGTTTTGCTTGGCTCTTGGAAGGCTGGGTGGGCCAATGTCATTGTCTCCAAGACTGCATTTCTGTGAGAAGAAATTCCAAAAACATTCCGACTTCTCCTTCGCGGTGCGGTGCTCTCTGCTGTTCTCGTCAATGAGTGTGAGTGTGCTTGAGATCTCCGCAACATTTCATCCGTTTTTAATTTGCCATCAAGGGCCGCATTCGCTCAGTGGAATTCCACATCATTGACAATGTCGAATCCTCGTTCCCTCATTCTCCTATGGACTGCTGTTCTTAGTCTGAGGAGGCTGTTTCTTTGGTAGGGCTGCCTATCTCCACGGCAAGCACCAACATACAGTGATGCTAGAACTACACCAAGCTCTTGCTTGGTGCAGTTGACCCACGGGAAATTTGGATAATTTTCTGCGGCGTACTTTTCGGCTACTTTCAGCCAGTTGTTTGCAGTGTCAGTTGAACTCTGAGGTGTTCTGCCCTTTATAATGCTATCAATTCATCTTCCGACACAGATAGGAACCTTTTTGGAAGAGGCTCCACCCTCACTCCTACATACGCCACCCACCCGACACACACACACCAAATCAATAATCAGGGATCGATGGATTAATCTTTTCATAGATCAGTCCATCGACCACAGAGGCAGACAGTTTCCTTGAGGAAGAAGAGTAAGGTTTCAATTCCCCCAACACAAAGCAACAAATTAGGTTTTAAACCCATGACCTCATATGCAGTTTGCTATTGGTAAAGGTCAAAGGCCCATAGGTTAAAGAGTGCACTGAAGAACCCGAAAGGCAAGATTCAGCCATCATGATCAGGCAGAAGACAGAGCTAGAGATAAAGCGTTCTTATAACCCAACGCATATTAGGGAAAGGTCCAAAGGTCGAACAAAAAAGTATTCCCGAAATGATGTCAAACGGTTCTGATGACCTGATTATGCCTGCGGTGGGAAGACCACCTATTGGCCATGGCCCCGGCAACGATCACATGTTACGCCCAAAGTGACGTCAAACAGCCCTGATGGCCTGATTATGCCCGCGGCGGGAAGACCACCTATTGGCCATGGCCCCGGCAACGATCACATGTTACGCCCAAAGTGACGTCAAACAGCCCTGATGGCCTGATTATGCCCGCTGCAGGAAGACCGCCTATTGGCCATGGCCCCGGTAGCGATCACGTTTCATGTCAGAAGAAGAAATTCTGCCAATGGCGAGTGAAATTTTAAATTTTACAACTGCGTACTTGGGCTGAGGCACACGTCAGCGCGTGCCCTGGCGGGAATACGTGGAATCAGTAGTGGCCCTGGAAGGGTTAACTACCGCTCGCTACGAGACGTTGTTAGCAGCCGTGAAAGTTGGGGAAGTTTGGTTGCAGTTTGCATTGTGTGAAATGCATGATAACCACCTTGTATGACGAACATTCATACTTCTTTTGCTTTTTGTTTTGTGTTTTTTCAGGTCTTTATTTCATAATAAATTGACGAGGTTTTCAGCGAAAATCTTTGACAGCCTTGCAAACCTAAAGAGATTGTAAGTTTATTAACTATGTTACAATCTGGATATTGTCCTATCCTACGTAAAAACGAATGACGCATTTTGTAGATGCTAACGTGCATTACCTTTCCAGCATGTCGGCCGCGAAGAAAATGACTCTGTGTCCTAGAAAGGTGGCAAGAACAACGGACATTAGAAGATGCTCAGAGGTCTCCGGTAAGTTGCGGCCATAAAGAATACCGACTACTGAGGTTGCCAGCTTTCCATATGCTGGAAATGGTGTCACAAGTCCAATTTTTCCAAGTGTTGTTGTTGTTCTATACCATATTTTTAGGGGAAATCAAAACAGGCATCATGCTTAATGATATTGGACCTACTGTGAAGACAATTTTAAAGGATATTGTGCAAAGGTAGCGATAGGAAAAAGAAAGAAAGAAAGAAAATTGGACGGTTGGTTGTAACGAGCAGATATCAATCAAGTGAGCAATGGAAAACCTACGTTACTGATAATATTATACTGCAAGGCTTGAGATTTGAAATCCAAATACGTATTTGAACATTTTGCTGCTGATGGCAATCTATTCCACATAATGACTGCAGCGTGCATTAGGCGCTTAGCAGAACAAATGTAACACCAAGGTGCTTGTAACAAGAGGTTATAGGTATCGGGGTAGGATCATCGGTGGACATGAAAACTAAAAATTTGAAGCTGTGCACCATCTGATGACGCATTCAGGACAACACACATAATCTCTGTCTTGGCGGAGTTCGGCTGGAGTTTCCACCTTCGCATCCACTTGACCACACAGTCTACTCCTACCAGCAGGTCTTGGCACGCAACAGGGAGCAACCGGTGACTGGCCAAAAGATTGGTGTCGTCCGCATATAGTGAGGTGCTGGGAATTGCACTGATATCGTTCACGTACATTAGAAAAAGCTGGGGACCCAGAATTGGTCCCTTGGGGACACCAGAAAAAATGCGTTCAGGGTGGGACAATTGACCCGAGATATGTACTGTAAAGTCCACTGCAAACGCCCACTTCGCAGCAAACGCCCACCCCAGCGGGTCCATACTATTTTCGTCTTTTTCAGGTCAATATAGTTGTAGAAAACTGACATGAAGGTCAAATGCGTACGAGAACGACTGTAATGCCTACAAACTGCCTATGTCTCACCAGGAAGCTCTGCAAAAGCGATTGTCATTATCTTCTAGCAAAGATAAACTTCTGTCGAGATTTCCTTTCATTCGATAAATGAGTCGTCTTTGTGGTAGTTCACTCTCCATGTGGTAATGCCGTAGAATCCATCTGGTTTTCATGAAATTTCTGCAGTGCCACGATGTTGTGCTTTCAGAACGGAACAGTGATTGTTCTGACGAAGCGTCATTCAATGACTTGACTGAACTGGTCGCAGTATTGCAGTTGCAAGTCGAACAGGGGGGGATGTCACAGAAGCTACACCTACAAAGTCGCTGCTAACTTGTTGAAAACTCTGAATTGCTCGCGAAAAACACTTGCCTTTGAGCGTTGTGTGATTTGGAAATGATGGCTTGAAACATCGTCAGAAGTGTACTTGGATCCTGCAATACTCTGTTCTTCGCTACCTTGTAATTAATAATAGTAATAACTTTATTAGGATGACCCAAAGGCAAATCGCCTATCGAGTGGTTCAACAAAGAATCCCGAAAGTTACTGGATGATGACGAAACTAGTAAGACTATTGGACATACGTAGCCCGTGCTCTTCTTCGTTGTGCTTTCCTTCCCCTCTTGGACCTTTCCGAACCTGAGCCTTCCAAGTTGGAAGGTTGTTGGTTCGCGCCTTGGAGAAATGTTGGCGCTAGGTGTCAGGTCGCCGAATGTCTCAGTACTCCTTGTCAGTTTTGTGCCATTTTGTCGCACTCGCTGACTGTATAAGATCTGGTTACGTTGGTGGACAGTTAGTCATAACTTGTAACATGTTGTCCTTATTCTTTTCACAATAATTTAAGTTGCTCACCATCCGCGTTACATAATATGATTGGTTAATATGTTATTTTGGGTTTGATATGGCAAACGAATCGTGATAAATAGGATATGACCTCGAATTTGGTCTACATGGGAAATGTAGGCCGAGTAAAACACCGAGGTGCACCGAGGTCTTTTACGATATAGACCTCGTCTTGGTCAATATCCAATACATAATTATATACATCCCCAGCACCGGGGGAGGGGGGGGGAGGGGGGGGGAAGGGGGGGGGGGTATTTTCAATGACGTATATATATAATACATCTTGAGCGCTGAATTAGTTTCAACCCATTCAGCAAAATGAAAATGATGAATACTCGGATATATGCATTGTTGTATTTGTATTTATGGATTCTCCACAGGTCTTAACCTAGATAGAGGGAGTGTTCATCAAAAGTTTATGAAGAAGAAGAAGCTGAGGAAAAATAAAAAATAAATATTACCATCCCCCACCTCACAACAGGGCAACCGAGTTTCGGATTAAGCTGGGAGTGCCGATCCGAGGAAATTATTTGGAAACACATGTTCCGCAAGTTGCACGCTCGAAGTAAAACAGCAATGACATGCAAGAGATATTGTACAGGATCCTGGAGGACGCGTGCCCACGTGACTCGCGCATGCACGCAGGTTGGGCCAGCTCCCTGGGCTGGCTGCTAACTTGCGTTAGCATGCTAAGTCTTATGAATCTTATGATAGAAAGATGCGGGTGGTAATAATTTAACACCGTGCTCTATGGCATCGCTACTCTACGTGGAATGAAACGAGAGGGCTTATAAGTTATAACGGGTGATAGCGAAGTGGGTACAGGCAAGAGGGATAACACATTTTGGGCTGGATACAGAACGAAAGACAGACGGGAGGGAGTTCCATGTGGCAGTGGTGACAAAGATAAAGGTGGCACGGATGTTTGTGCGGGCGCTAGCAGGCGGAAGCAGATGTTGCAGGCGCCTCGTGCGGTGTGCTACTGTGTAGCCTAGGTCCTCGAGGGTCATCATCTGGCTATGGATGAGGTGTTGGAGCTCAAGAAAGCACTGAATGTGTCTTCGCCATGCGAGGCTGGGCCACTGGAGGTCCTCGAAAAGCGAGGGTTTCGGCTCCGTTTGAGGAGGATGCACGCCATAATCACACTATGATGGGACAGATTCAGAGTACTCAAACCAGGGATGTCGATCACATAGTTCACGACTTATTATACCGTAGAATCCCGCGTATAAGCCCATGCCCGCGCATAAGCCCAGGGTTTGTTCGAACATCACAAAGCTTCATCGTACAAGCCCATGGGCTTAGATCATACCAAGAGTCCATAAATTATGGACTCTTGGCCATACCATGCATGTACATGTAGTACAATGCACATTAGTTTTTTTCCTACATTTAAGCACAATCATCGGTTGTTTTTGTTCGCACAGTGGTTTTCAGCATTGTACATGTACTTCTCCTTCTCACTTCCCTGACACTTTTCAATAGCACAACTAACGTGTTACTTGGTGTCGGTGTATAAGCCCATGCCCGCGTATAAGCCCATGTTCTCGTATAAGCCCACCGAAATGTCCTTGTGAAATAGATAAGGCTATGGGCTTATCCGCAGGATTCTAAGGTCTCACTTTAAGCCGCGGTCTCACCAAGTTCAGCCGTTTTTGGCTTGCGCTGAAAGTGGCTTGCAACTAGCCAGCTGGCAGTCAAACCAAAACTGGTTGACGCGGGTTTTCCCGGGTTTTTCTTTATTTTGAGGATGACCCCTGTGCCCAGTATACGTGATTTGCGTACACACTAGGTCCTAATTTTGAATCTCCACGTGGGAAACTTCCTGACTACAATAAACGTCAACTCAAGTTCTTCAACTCCTCTTGCACTCTTGCACTTCAGCCAAAATTATTCACCCACTTTCAGCTTTTCAGTGCTTCCAAAAGGGCCGAAAGCTGAAAGTGGCTGGTGCCCCGATTTTCAGCCGTTTCCGTGGAAACCTCAGCCGGAAAAAACGCTTTTTTGGCTGAACGGCTGAATCGGGCTCGGTGTGACCGCGACCTTAAACTCTTTATCAAGACAAGGTTGCTTGATTACGCATGCTATCAAGAGTGTGCTACTCCGGGCTCGAACTGTGATGGATTCACCACGGCGGATTATTTAATTGCGTAATTCTTTCCCAAAAGTATCACCAAGTCCGTATACATGTACTTTCCTCCTTCTTCTTTGTGGCTACGGTGGGAGTTCATCATGTTCAGGGAACATCGATCTACTGTCCAATGTTCTGCTTCGGCTATTGTAGCTGCGATGTACAAATTCTTTGTACATTGATGTCTGGCTACGCAATATGGCATCCGGGAGTCAAAATTAATAGCCGCGAAGTACTGCTGCCATATCAAAATTCCTCTGTTGGGTGGGGATCATCGATTTCAGTATCCTTGGTTATATTTTCTTGGTTTTTAGTTTTTGCTTGAATAAAAAGCAAATATGTTGTACTGAGTGCGTGATGGCCTTCTGAGAAAGTTTTGCTTTTTTTGCGCAGGCAACTACAGAGCAATCAATTAACAATCCTTCCTCCCAGTGCTTTGGAAAAGCTGGTTAATCTTATTTTACTGTAAGCTTCATTCTGTACGACGTTTATTTAATGCTTCAAAGACCATTGAGCACAGCAGCAACATGTTTTAGATTAGACTGTTCTCATAGCCTGTCTACTGTGATCTCTCTCTCTTTCTCTCTGTCTGTCTGTCTGTCTCTCCCTCTCTCTGCCTGTCTCTCTGTCTCTCCCTCTCTCTGCCTGTCTCTCTGTCTCTCTGTCTCTGTCTCTCTATCTCTCTATCTCTCTCTTTCTCTCTCTCTCTCTCTCTCTCTTTCTCTCTCTCTCTCTCTCTCTCTCTCTCTCTCTCTCTCTCTCTCTCTCTCTCTCTCTCTCTCTCTCTCTCTCTCTCTCTCTCTCTCTCTCTCTCTCTCTCTCTCTCTCTCTCTCTCTCTCTCTCTCTCTCTCTCTCTCTCTCTCTCTCTCTCTCTCTCTCTCTCTCTCTCTCTCTCTCTCTCTCTCTCTGACAGAGAGAGCGAGAGAGGGATAGCGAGAGGGGTAGCGAGATAGATAGGTGAGGAGATAGAGAGATAGAGAGATAGAAAAATAGAGAGATATAGAGATAGAGAGATAGAGAGATAGATATAGATACATAGAGAGAGAGAGAGAAACACACCTAGACAGAGACAGAGAGAGAAAGAGAGAGGCAGAGAAAGGGAGACAGAGAAAGTGAGAGAGAGAGAACAAGAGATAGAAAATGAGATAGACAGAGACAGTGACAGACTGGTGAGTAGAAAGACAGACAGGCAGCCTACTTCGCAGTGGTGAGCTGTGAAAATAATAATTTATGACATCATGTTGATGTGACAGTTGGACGTGACAAACACACATGTGATAGACCAGAGAAAGAGAGAGGAGAGGGGAGAAAGAGAGAGGAGAGGGGAGAGAGGAGAGAGGAGGGGGGGGGGTTATTGCTTTGTGAGTCTGTAGAATGTTAGATTCCCTGACCATCTTTAACCAAGCTGCTCACGAACATTTTCGGTGAGTCGCTGATTTTATTAGATTGACAACACAGTCGCTCTCATTTCAATGGCAATTTGCTATAAGCAAGTTTTCTTACCTTTCTCATAAGTAAACAATTAAATCCACCTTCACATCTACTTTATAATATAGATAAGAAAAGGAAAAAATTTTTGAAGGACGCTTCACGCAGCTTCATTATACTTGAATTGTTTGCAGGCAACCTGCCTACACTCAAGAGAGCACTGCATTTCACACAAATCCATTGGTATCGTTACAACGTTTCGGTCTTTATGACCATCATCAGGAATGAAGTGGACATGGAAAGAACAGCAGTATAAAAGAAGGAGGCAAGCAAGCAAAGCGCGGTACATAGTGACAGCGCGCGTAGAGAAGTGCAAAGCACGTCATGGCGGGTGTGCATTACTACATATACATGACAACACAAGCACAAACGGCGAGGAAAGTAGATACTGCGCTACAGCAGTGATAACAGCCCAGTTACAGTCTCACACCACCAGTGAGGTGTCTAGAGCCCCGCGCCACTCGCAGTAAGGTGGTGTTATAGCAGATCCCAGCCACTGTTGTTATTAATTTCCGGGGATCGCTCCCTGATATTGATGGCCTCCCGGATCCTCCTCCTGGGGCGGTCACGCTCAGAACCGAGAACCCGGATACCTGAGAAAGCCGTTGCTCCCAATGGCAATGGGTCAGATGCATGCTTGGCCGCGAAATGCTCACCCAGCGCGGTGCCGCTCACTGTGTTGCGTGCGTCGTCGTTGTGTTCTTTTGTCCTGGTAGCGAGGCTGCGGTACGTCTCTCCGACATATTTATCACCACATTTGCACTCGAGGTGGTATACCACGTTTCGCTCTGTGCATGCTTCTGAACCGGACATGCAGGCGACACAAGCAGCCTTGGGCCGCCCCCGTTTACGGGGCTTGGACGGGTCTACATACCTGCGACATGGTGGTTTGCGGAGGGCAGACGTGCAAATCATAGAACTTAGACGGCGGTTCCTGTAAATCAGCTGGGCATTTATCTTGTACTTCCGGAGTAATTTATGAATTTTGTTGTGGATATACTCGGTGTGAAACGGTAGGTTGAGGGTGACACGGTATTCATTCTGCACTCTGACACGTCGGGGGCGCATAGCTCGTTCACGTGCCGAAACTATAACTGACTCTGGGAAGTTGTTGAATTTTAGGATGTTGGTTACTTTTTCTTCGCTTCTTTTTAGGGTGTCGGCATCGGAGGATAGGCGGACGGCACGCAGGAACTCAGAGGAAGCAATTGCTTTCTTTTGCTGGTTGGGAACTGACGAGTTGTAGTCTGATACCAGTCCGCTGTGACATGGCTTGCGGTATAGTTCATAGGATATAGATCCATCTGGTGAGACATGGACGGTCGTGTCCATGAAGTTGATTGAGCCAGTCAACTCCGTGGATTGGTGAGTGAATTTAATATTAGGATCGGCATTATTGAAGTGATCTAGGAAACTCTGCAGAAGTTCCGGACCGAGGTTCCACACAATGAAAACATCATCGATGTAGCGCTTCTACAGAACTGGGCTGGCAGGTGCACTACGCAAGAGCGAACTCTCTAGGTCATGCATGTACAGGATGGCAAAGGGGGGCGCTAGGTTATTGCCCATAGCCACACCATCCTTCTGGTGGTACACCTGCGCTCCAAACCGGAAGTAGTTGGAGCTCAGCACATGTGCGAGGAGCTCCTTGACCTGCCCAATTCGGAAACCAAACAGATCGATGCTGCCCTCGAAGAAGCATGCACAGAGCGAAACGTGGTATACCACCTCGAGTGCAAATGTGGTGATAAATATGTCGGAGAGACGTACCGCAGCCTCGCTACCAGGACAAAAGAACACAACGACGACGCACGCAACACAGTGAGCGGCACCGCGCTGGGTGAGCATTTCGCGGCCAAGCATGCATCTGACCCATTGCCATTGGGAGCAACGGCTTTCTCAGGTATCCGGGTTCTCGGTTCTGAGCGTGACCGCCCCAGGAGGAGGATCCGGGAGGCCATCAATATCAGGGAGCGATCCCCGGAAATTAATAACAACAGTGGCTGGGATCTGCTATAACACCACCTTACTGCGAGTGGCGCGGGGCTCTAGACACCTCACTGGTGGTGTGAGACTGTAACTGGGCTGTTATCACTGCTGTAGCGCAGTATCTACTTTCCTCGCCGTTTGTGCTTGTGTTGTCATGTATATGTAGTAATGCACACCCGCCATGACGTGCTTTGCACTTCTCTATGCGCGCTGTCACTATGTACCGCGCTTTGCTTGCTTGCCTCCTTCTTTTATACTGCTGTTCTTTCCATGTCCACTTCATTCCTGATGATGGTCATAAAGACCGAAACGTTGTAACGATACCAATGGATTTGTGTGAAATGCAGTGCGCTCTTGAGTGTAGGCAGGTTGCCTGCAAACAATTCAAGAAAAGGAAAGTGTACGCTATTATGTCCACTCGCACCACCAATCATTAATTTTGATAATCAACTCATGCGATAACATTGCACAACACCAACCGGCGGTACTGACGTTCAGCAAGTAACTGCCAATCAGCTCTAGAACGTCTTGGATGCGCACTCCATCTGTCGACCAACTTGGAAGTATAATAGCAAGAGTACATAAACCAGAGTGTGCAACTCGGGATGGTTCCTGTGGGAGCATAATTCGTGCAGTACGTCATTTCTGACGGCATGGTAAGCCACAGGTACGGTGAAAAGTTGCGTAACCAGTCGCGGTGGTGCAGGTCACTGAGTTTGTCCTGATTTCGGTTTTTTGATATGGATAGCCTGGTGACTTTACTTGTCGGTGGATGTACTCAGCGTACACATTCACACAAAACACCGAAATCCTGAAACAGGATGTCTAAAATCAAGCCAACTTGGCTGATTTCCGGGCTATGGAACATGAAAATTTGAGCTGTACGCAAGTCGCGGCTTGGCTGACCTCATCACGGTGACGTAGTGCACGAACTACGCTGTTTCAGATCTGATATGCACAGTTGCACACTCTGGTTTATGTACTCTTGATATTAGTTATAGGAATTGTCTTGCCAGTATCGTCTTCGACATGCAATTGCATCCGCCAAGGTTCTTAAGAGCTAAAACTTTCAGCTTGTGCTTGTCTTGGTTGCAAGCAGTTCCCCTGCAATGGTAATCTTGTAACTTAGCTGGAAGGAGGTTGGCGTGTGCATCCAAGACTTTCTATAGCGGATTGGCAGTTACTTGCAACTGGTGGTGTTAGTGGACATCATAGTGTAATTTGTAGTTCCTTGGTCCTTTTCCTTGCTATAAATGAATCCGTGGCTCTGCATCCGAGTCCAACTTCACATCTACTCTTATTGTTTGCCCAGCGATATCCGTTATAACAACCTCTCTGATTATCGACTCTGCGGCCTATATCCAAGAAGGCATATTATGACCGCAAAGCTCGCTACGGGAAAATATCCCCTCCACCGTAAGTTTCACGTCACCGACTCTGCTTTGATCATTTTGAAAACAAGTTGCTTCATGTGTGAAATGTAGCAGTACCGCTGTCCAGTATGCACTCAATCTCCAGAAAGGAACCGGTACCTGTTTCAAACTGTTGGGCCTCACGAGCGGGGCTATTGGCAACCGGCCAACCAGATCGTAATGAAGCCTAGTCACCAAAAAAGTTGACAGACCGCCAGCGAAGACGTCCTTTAGTGTGAAGTAGAAAATAACGTCTTCCTTCGCGTCGAGCAAGCAGTGCTCATCCGGAAGGGCATCTTCGATCACCGATCTTTTGGGTAAATGGTCCGTGGAGAATGTGAGGACACTGTCCATCGTGCAGGACTCGGGGTTGCAAACCTTGCTGCACTTGCTCAAGCCTGACGTTCAGCCTCCAAGCTAGACCCACATCATGAACATTAACCGGCGATGGTATGACGGTGCTGTCAGTATGATGACGAAGGAGCTGAGTGATGCAGCTAGCTGTGGCAAATCAGCACTTTCGGTCACAACTGGCATCTGGACTAGCGATGCTGTTGAGGGCTACCTGACACTCACTGGTCGCCTCATCAACGCCAAGTTTGAAATATCGTCATGCTGTCTTGGCACCATACGCCTCGGAGAGCGACACACTGGTACAAACATAGCAGACAAGATCACCAGCATTCTGGATGAGCTGGGTATCCCGGAAAAGTGGCATGGTCTGCCTAGTTCATGACCAGGCCACTAACACGATGGCAGCCAGCCATCAGCTAGCGCCTCCCATTGCTCCATTTGAGAGTGTTGCTTGTGCTGCTCAGCACACTCAGAACACAAAGAAAGCGGGTTCACATGTTCGCTGAGTAGAAGGTGTTTGCTTTTGCTCGCAAGTTGGTGAGCCACCTTAAGCACAATAGAGAGGGTCGCATAACGTAATTACGTTAGTAAAAAACGCCAGCCATGCATCGACCAGGCGCCAGGCGCGAACTGATGGTGGTGGTGGTGAGAAGGAGAGCTCTGTGCCAGAACTTTGCAGCCTAGAGAGCGTGTGTGGGCAGGCGTGTGTTTACCGCCATATTGCCAGGTGTGTCTTTACCACCATATTTATCAACCATAAGTACAGCTGCAGTGGTGTCTCCGACTTCATTCTCCCGAGTCAAGCTCCGTATGAAGACATCCAAGAAGAAGATTGCCTGATGAGTCCAGCGGGGACGAAACGTACGTCGCAATCGAGCTATGTCGTTGCTGTGTCATCATCTATGTGCCATGCGCTACTTGATGTACCAGCCTGCTATGCCGGATACCGCCAGCCATGCATCGACCAGGCGCCAGGCACGAACTGATGGTGGTGGTGGTGAGAAGGAGAGCTCTGTGCCAGAACTTTGCAGCCTAGAGAGCGTGTGTGGGCAGGCATGTGTTTACCGCCATATTGCCAGGTGTGTCTTTACCACCATAGTAAAAAACGCAGTCGATCTACGGAAATTCTTACGTAAACTGCATGCGGATCTGTGTTCCGCCATACAGAGTTTTCAAATCACGTAGCTGCCCTTGGCAGCTCCGAACGCGGCAGTGTATGACCGGATCAAACTGGGGAGACAGTCGTAAAATTGTGCCCCATTCCACTTACGGATCACCTACGTTATCAGAACCCTATCTACGTAATCTCCGTAGACAACTTTTTTATAAGTGGAGTGCAAACTCGCGAATTCACAGGTTTTCCCGCCCACGTAAATTTGGTCAACTGCGAACCTCACTAGTGTCGTAGTAATGGTGGCAATACGGCCAAAACAGGAGGAGGCCAGTGAGAGCAGGCCGAAGTTTGTTCAAGAAGTGGCTACAAGGTGGAACAGCACTTTGCATATGATGGAGCATCTGCTACAGGTGAAGGCACACACACACACACACACACACACACACACACACACACACACACACACACACACACACACACACACACACACACACACACACATGTGTGTGTGTGTGTGTGTGTTTGTGTGTGTGTGTGTGTGTGTGTGTGTGTGTGTGTGTGTGTGTGTGTGTGTGTGTGTGTGTGTGTTTCTGTGTGTGTGTGTGCAGCATGTCAACAACCAGGAGCTGCGAAGACGCTGGGGTGATATGGCACTGCCATCTGATACCGTCAGACACCGCCATCTGCAGTGGCTTGGGCATGTCGCCAGAATGCCAGATAACCGGCTTCCGAAGCTGATACTGTTTAGCTTCTTCTCAGATCCACGCCCAGCTTGTGGGCCACGACTGCGATGGAAAGACCTCGTCGCACGTGATCTTCGTTTCGGTGGCATAGTGAATTGGCTCACTTTGGCTCAGGATCGCCCAGCATGGCGCGAGGCAATTGCAAAGACTCCGGATGATCTCGTGGAGTGTAACAACAACAAAGTCACCTGCAAGGTTTGCAACCGATCATTCACTGCTCGTGGGATTCACCGTCACAAGTGCTCAGCTGTGCGGTCCTTACCTGTTGCCCAGCAGCCTGGGGCCCGTCACTGTGGAGTTTGTGACCGCTGGTTTCAAAGCGCTGGCGGTTTTGCAGTTCATCGTTGTGTGGAGCGTCAGACATCGGACGAAATACCAGCTGTTTCAACGAGATGCAGCCTGAATTTGGACTGCTGCCAGCACCATTGCTCGATCTGTGATCGCTGCATGAAGAGTCGGGCTGGTTTTAACCGCCATAATTGTACTCGAGGCAAACGGCTGCGAAAGGACCAGAGGACTAATCTGCCCATACAATGCAGCCTATGTAGCGAACGATTCTCCCGCCCGCAGGACCTCACCCGCCACCGAAGACAGAAACACTAGCTATGTGTAGAACGGTCCCCTTTCACCTCAATTATTCTCCTTGTTTCTTTTTTCTCGCTGTTGTCTCCCGCTTCTGGGAGCGACATGGCCATTTTGTGGCAGTTGTACATAGTAGCAGTAGTAGTAGTGTGTGTGTGTGTGTGTGTGTGTGTGTGTGTGTGTGTGTGTGTGTACGTGTGTGTGTGTGTGTACGTGTGTGTTTTTCTCAAGAATTCCCCACTCTGGGGCGGCTCTGGCCTCGTCCAGGGTCGTCCCAGGTTAGTTCAGGACCTGTTGAAGTAGATAGGGTCGCGGACTAAGATTCTTGAGGACCAGGGCTTCGCATGATGTTGCCACCTCAAGTTTCTCCGCGCGCCCTTCGTTCGGTGAGGAGTTGCAACCCCCGAACGTCCGCGACTGCACGAGATGAGCAGGTTCGAAACAGTACAGGACGTAGACGTTATTTGTCAGTGGGCACCTGGAATGTCCGGTCACTTGTGGAAAGCTCAGGCCCAATTGAAACTGCAGCTGTAACAGGAAAAGTCGTGGAGGATAAGAAAATCGAACGGGTCGTCGCGGAACTCTCGCGTCTGGCTGTGGATATTGCAGGACTTCAGGAGACACATTGGTTTGGTGAACAATCGTATCGTGTTGGTGGCTCTACTATTCTTACATCGGGTCGTCCTGTTCCTTCGGAGGACTCCAGTCGTTGACGAGGAGGTGTTGCTGTCGTTTTGAATTTGAATTCAACGAACGCTTGGAAAGCAGGAGGCTGTGTCTGGAGAGCGTACAGCTCTCGCCTTGTCACCGTACGATTGAAGTTCAAAGTCCAGCGGCATTCCAGCTTTGTCCCCGCCATCTTCTCTACCACCGGAGGCATGGGAAAGCATGGTGCTTCGCTCTACAAACGCATCGCCTCTCTCCTCGCTGCCAAGACTGGGGAGCCATACAGCATCACCCTAGCTGCCATCCGCTGCCAGATTGGCTTTGCACTGGTCCGTTCAGCGCTGATGTGCTTGCGTGGTGCACGCAAGGCATTCTTACCAGCAATGGCCTCAGACTCGGCAGCGCTTGTTGTTGCTGAAGCAAGAATCTCAGCTTGAGGCTTACATTATTATCTGTCAAGTGTCATTAATGACATTGTACATGATCATCACCGCGTGCGCTCGATCTAATCATTGATTGTCTTTATTTTATGTTTTGCCCGTACAAGAGGCATGGTTTGAGTTAAAAAAAAAAAAAAAAAAAAAAAAAAAAAGCGTGCTGTACGCTGGTACACTGTTATTGTGGCGTACGCTCCGACTTTCGCCAGCACTCGATCGGAGAAGGAGCACTTTTACGACTCCGTGCAGCGAGCGATGGACGACGTCCCTCGTGGTGACAGATACATTCTACTCGGAGACTTCAACGCGCGAGTTGGCACTCGTGGCAGCCATGCTGAGCAGTCTAGGGATGAGTGGTGCACTGTGCGTGGCCCTCATGGCTTTGGGGAGATGAACTCCTCTGGAAAGGAACTATTAGATTTCCTGGCAATGAACAATGCTACAATCTGTAACACCTGGCACAACAAGAGACAAAATCTCAAACCAACCTGGCAACATCCTAAGTCACAGAAATGGCATTGCATTGACTACATCATCACTAGCCAGTGTGATAGGATGCTGTGCATGGATTCTCAGATCATCCCAAGTGCAGAGTGTGGCAGTGACCATCAACTGCTTTGTGCACGCTTCCTTCTTGGCACGTATCACCACTCTGTCAACCCGCAAGCTGTGTGTGTGCAACGTAGCAAGGGTCGCTTCGACACGTCCAAGTTATTTCTTTCTGCCGATGCAAACAACAACCCTGATGATGGCGCCACCCCGTTGTCTGCTTATCAAGACGCGGTGTCCACTCTCGTATCAACACATTGGCGCCCGCATGATCCAATAGATGAAAAGTGGAACGTCCTCCGCGATGCTGTTGTCATTGCCGGAACGGACACTCTTGGTCAACGCAAGCGTAAACAACCTGATTGGTATGTGGACAGTGGCCCGACTATTGAACCTCTGTTACAGGAACGGAATCGGCTGCACGCGCTCTGGCTTCAACATCAACGTCCTAGGGATCACACTGCTTTCAAACAGGCTCGCAGTCAAGCGCGTGCCGGAGTGAGGAAGGCTAAACGTGACTGGATATCATCCAAGGCAGAGCTCG